CGCACGCACATCTACACACACCACTTGGAATTCGCCAAGGCTCCTTATTAATAAAACAAATACCGGAAGGAACCAGAAAGAATTCGCTTTAGTGTCGAAAGTTTAAATACTCTGTAAAGGATAAAAAAAATAATGAGAAAAAAATCTTGCATTCCATTCTTGCAAGAAGAAATAGGAAAAAATGGAAAACAGATGGAGAAAGTATAATTTTTTCTTGGTATTGCCTTATAAGCCATATTTTCAATAACCGAGAACCGAGAGATGGCAGCACAAAACTGACAAAGTTTCCTGCGCTTTTCGCAACTTTCTTCTACTCATTCAGCCTTAAGCCCACTTTCTCCACACCCCATTCTTCGGCCAGGAACTGACTGTCTTTTGGCATTCGCCTGGGTTCGCCTATTATTTGCGCATTTTATTTTCATTGAACATTTCATTGACACTTTGACAGCAGCATTGACATTTGCGTGACTCGGGTGATTAGAATATGCGCCTCCCAAGTTCCTTTCTTGTCTCCCTATCTCTTTTACTCGCAGTACTGCCGTCTCTTTCCGCCGCCCATTTGGCATTCAATCTTATTATGCTTCGACTTAGTTTTTCATTGCTGCGCCATTTTATGGCCAAAGGACTTGTGTGTGCAATTAATTTTATTCTCAAACAATGAAAGTAAAGTAGTTCGCAGCGAGGGAACTTTAAAGTGAACTTTTATGTTCAAGTAGCTGTCTATGATTGGATTTTTTAATCTTAGAATAATTTAAAACAAAAATAAGTCTTTCTAATCGTGCGTAATACCTGCTTACAATTTTAAGCCATTTAAAGTGATTCTGTCGCATTTTTTGTATCAATAAATACCCAAACCCTAACAAATACTTTCCCCAAATTGATTCAGCCTCGAATGTCTCGAGACGACACATCTGCTGTTGTTCTGTGAAATTTATCTGACTTGTAATCCTATTCGCTTTGCATGTCGCACCGTGTCGCCAACTTAATGGTGCCACATCCATACAATCGTGTTGGTACAACTATATATAGGTATATCCCAGAATAGAAGCTGCTCCAACCTGGCCCGGAGATAAACGATTGTCGCTTAAAGTCCTTGATGTGCCAATTTTCATAGCTGATGTCGTTCTTCGGTTGCCACTTCATGACTGCCTGCGAATTGCCTCAAGATGTTGACAGTCTTTGCATTCAGCTGCAAGTTGCAGCCAGTTTTGCAGACAAATGTTGTGCTTTAAGGCGAGTGACCGACGCGAAAAGGAAACCGCATTTCTTCTGGCTTATTTAATTTAAGGCAACAAAGTGAACCTCGCAATCGAGTTATCATAACTCGGTTTCCTGCCGTTGCTCCGGAATCTTATTGCGTTTTTGGCAGGCTGCTTCAAATCTACTTTCAGGCTAACCAAATCAAAAACCAATATGAACTTAATAAATGAAATCAAGAGCGAGATTGTTTGTATTTTACAAACGGTTTAGGTTCCATTTGGGGAGATTGTCGGCACAACTAAGGGAGACCAACTGATTCAAGCAGAAACATACTCATTAAAGGATTTAAATACTTTAGTAATGATTCATTTAACTTTCATTGTCACCTTCCTGCTTGGCAGGTACAATCAACCAAGTAATTGCCCAACTCCCGACCCATTGAAACAGTTGCAGATGTGTCATGACCCCAGCACTGTCTTTGTTCTCCACCGACAATACAGGAGCTAATGCAGTGACATAACCAGCCATCCATCCATCTATCCATCTATCCATCCAACCATCATGCATCCATCCATGCCATCCATCTCTTGTTAACTAAACACAATCGAATGACGGACAAAAGGCGTTGGGAGAATGGGTTGCAATATTACGTATACGCTACGTGGTCTGCCTGGCACACTGACTGACTGCCAGACTGACTGACTCTGTTTATCTGCCTTTGCACTTTAGTTTTTTAAGCTTCAGCCATAAGCCTGGGGCATTTAATTGAACAAGTGAGCACTTTATTAAAATGTCACTCAACTGTGTTTAGGGAGCTCCGAAAAGCATGAGGACCATTGTTGAGCCGGCTGACTTGGGGATTGCCGACGACGTGGTCTGTGCAAATTTTATTACAGCTGTGTCAGGCATTTTGACAGCAGGTTTCACCTACATTTAACACCGGGAGTACAAAAAACAATTATATTTTCAATTTCGACAACAATTGTACTCTGGAAATTCTCCTATAAAATATTTTAAACTCGGACTAGACTTTTAATAGTTTGTATTCCCACTCTTTGCAGCCAAAAATACGTACTGAAATATAATTTAAAAAAAAAAAGGCAAACTGTATCCTGAGACTAATTTTCTTCGAGAACCTGGCATACCCTCGTAGGTTCACGGATTACCTCTTTTTTCTAAAAAAAAAAGTCGAAACAACAACAAACCGGAACGGGAGCAGTTGCAGTCACGGATGCCGCAGTCGACTTGGACTGCATTTAGCGTATGCATATTTAATATTTCCCAGGCAAGTTGCAACCAACAACTACTATAACAACAACGGCAGAAAAAACTCCAGAAACTCTCCAGCCAAAGCCAAGGAACAGTTGCGAAAAAAGGGTTCCGAACTGGAGTAAAAAACGGGGGGAACACAGCTCATACTCGTATATCATTTGACCCTGCTGGCAGTCACCCCTGGCGCACTGGCAGTCCTCACTCCTCGCGTATCCTTTATTCTGCTAACAAGAAGCAAACAACAGGAAACCAAAGCGGGAGAGGCGGCGGGTGGCGGGCGTACGCGGATCGGTGGGAGTGAAAAAAGTTTTGAAATGAAAAAGCAGTCAGCATATGAAATGAGTTTATTACTCAAAATGCTCCGCTGTGTGTGCGTGTGTGAATGCGGCACGCTTTAAGTGGCATGCATGCACCAGCATATGATGAAGGGCGTGGGGAAAGGCGTGGGGCGTGGCAGGAACCCAGGAAGGAGCTGACGGCCTGCGCCGCTGACGACGCCACCGCGTTGCAGGCGAATAGTTAGCTGAATTTATTTATAAATAATTTCCAAACATAAATCGCTGCGCAGCTTAATCAAATTTACGGCAGACAGTGAGTGGCAAAGCTACGACGCCACGGTGCTACAAAGACACATAATCTCCGCAAGGACATGTGCGAGATTTGCAATTAATATTTCAGCTGTCCTTATAGTACTTTCGATATTACAGACCACTAGGATTTGCTTGTCAGCGCGGGAAATGAGAAGGAAATGCCCTAAAAATACCAATTTGTGTTAATTGAGCGCGACAGGACCGCAACAACAACAACGGAAAATTGCATAATACACAGTCCTAGGGCAGGACAACAACAGGAACAGGATGCCCTGCGAAGCGGATAGTGTGCCGGAAATTGGCTTATAGATGCCGTGCCATAGATATTTAGCTACACTTCCCGTTCGGTCAAATGGCAGATTGAAGATGCAAATTCAGACGTGCATTGCATATGTCCCATTAAAGTGTATGTTTTGGTTCGAAATGTGCGCCAGCTTGTGCTGCTAAGTACCTGTTTGAAATGGCTTCTGACATGGCAAGGTATGCGGCTAATGGTGGGTTGCTACCAAAAAACTAGGCACGCATTAAAGCCAAAAAATAATTTTTTAAAAATTGTACTACATAGAGTCTAAAGTCTAGAACATTTTCTGAGTTAAATGAATTAATTCGTCAGATTCATGCAGTCTCATTGAGCCCTCAACCTCCCCTCTTGACCTTCAACCACTTGAGTAAGCGCATTAGTTTTAGCTTTTAACATTTTCGTCTTACCAGCTCTTGGCCACAAAAAAGAAACCTTCCCAGGCGCATAAAAGGGGGTGGCCTGGCAGAAGGTCGCCTTGCTGCATTAGCTGGCTTGCAAGCGGCTCAAGTGCAAAATCGAATTTAGGTAACGGAATTTCATCCTGCTTGCCAAGGCTCCCCTGGTCGCTCTTTTTTTTTTTAACCACCTATCAGCCAGCTTCCCACTTGGCTGCCAACATTCTCCCTGGCCCGTCCTGAAAAAAATCCACCTTTTCTAACCACTCTTAACAGCAGTCGACGATGCGACGATGGCGATAAGCGCCTGGAACATGCGTGCTAAAAACACACACTCAAATCCATGCAGAGAAAAAAATATAAAGTTAATTTGTATAACTTTTTATAAGAATTTAAGTCCCTTAGAATAATTGTAGATCTGTAACCTATGAAAGAATAAATCACAAATGTGCCAACAAATATCCCTATTGTAGCAGTGCACTTAGGCACCTGTGTTCGCCCTAATGCTGGTCACAAAAACAAAGGCAACGACTAGCCAAAGGGGTGGCTGGTCGGGCGCCATTGGTGGGAAGGGCTGCTTAGCTCGGGGTCAAAGGGTGTTGCAAATTCAGCTGGAGTAGCAGTAGCAGCAGCAGCAGCAGCATCAGCACCTTTGCCATTAACCCAACTCGGTTCGTTTTGGTTCGGTTTTTGCTGGATGCAGCTTCTTCTTTTTTGCTATTAGTTTTCGCCACATGTTTGTGTGTGCCACCCCTTCGTTCTGCCCACTTCCCAGTCCTCAGACGCAGCCCCCAGCCCTTCCCTCGGAGCATACCCGTACTCACCTGTTCGTTTTTTGTTTTAAGTGCAACATGAAATGTGCATACCAAGGAGCAGGCCAACCCGACACGGACATGGGGTGGACAGACGCCCGACTCTCCTCATCTGCATTTTGCTTGGCTCATCCTCGGATGCCAGCTGCCTGGCCCCCGCAGCCCTGACCCCCGATCCACCGCAGTGTAATACACTCCCAGTGGCTGTGCCAGGGTGTGCATGTAAGCATGTTACTAGTGCCCTGCTCTCCATGTGCTACCGATGTTTTCGTAGTCTAGTTTGGGCCTGGAAACTAAGATATATGGCAGCTGCCAAAAGATGCAAAACATGGCTTTTCTATACATACTCGGATGAGTCGGACAGCCAGTACCAATTGCGAACGCAGCGGACTCTTTTCTAAGATGTAATAAGGTATGATTAATTCTTAAATTGTACAACGATCTTTCGAATCCTAAAATCCTACTACTGTCCTACTATTGTTTCTGGTCCCCCTCGGCGGTGACGTAGAGGTTCCCAACAGGAAACTTGCGGAGAGTGTGTCCTTCTCCACCGCGTTACACCTCCGCTCCAGGCGGTCATATTCGACCCACAGCTTGTTCACGACCTTCCTCTTGTTATCCGAAAAGTCAACGGACGCATCGAAATCTTTCAGCAGGGCGGGATAGTGCATTAGGCAGCCCATCTTGCGCAGGTTCTGTTGCTCCTTTTTCAGGCGCTTGTGCCGCAGAACTTCCTTGTGAAGCCGATCCCTGCACTGTTTCTTAGCTTCCTGCCGCTGGCGGAGCCTTCGCTTCAGCTGGTTAAGCATATTCTTGGCCATCGTTTCCTTGTTCTTCCAGTGGGCCATTGCGTGCATATTGTAGGTGACGACCTCACTGAGACGTCGCAGTTCGATGTCCTTTTCTATGGGTAAAAGGAAATTAATATGGGAATTTATAAAAAAGGGACTAAGCTACCTTGAATTTTGATGACCAAGGAGTCGTTATGAGCCTGATTAGACAGATATTGGTTCACCGACAAGCCGTTGACAAGGCATTCCATTTTCTCTGCCAACTAAAGGAAAAATGGAAAAATGATAACTAAATATATTGAAAGTTCTTACCGTGGAAATCATCGCATATCGATGTTGCATGAAGAGCAAATCCCGCCGCACCGCAGACACCTCGTTCCGGGTTCTGACCATTTTCTTTAGTAGGTCGTCGACAACTCCTTTCAGGCGATCGAAGCCGTCCTTGAGCAGAATGCTCCGTACCTTGGACTCGAATTTCGTGTTCTTTTCGTCCAGTATAGCCTGGCCGGCCTGTTCTTCCTTTTGCAGTTTGACCAAGAGCTCCTCCTTGGTAGCCTCTAGGGCGTGCATGTGCTCCAGTCGATGATCCAGTTCCTCGAGCACGAACTTGTATCGGCGTTGGCTTATCGCGTGACTTATCGCCTGGCTTCGATTGGGCTGGGTGATGAAGGAGAAGACCTTCCTCCGCGCGTAGTACTCTGTGACTAGTCTGTCGAGGCTCTGGTTTTTGTACATTTCCTCCTGATAGTCCTTGGCAAGCACGTACAACTGCTCCTGCAGCTTTTTCTTGTCCAGAAAAAGGCGCATACGAACATCCGGGTGCTCTGCGTGTTTGACAATTTGGGTGATAATATGGTCCAGGAAGTTTTCGATGGCCTCCAGACTTGCCATACGTATCTCGAGTGAGCTAGACGAGGAGCTTTCGATATGAACCTTCGTGCCGCGAGGTTCGATATTCATCATACTTTCCGTTATATCAAAGATTGATGATTTCTCCTCACCATGATACGAGATTACCTCATCGCTGTCAGACAGGCTGCAGAGACTGATTTCCGATACCTGGCTTGGGCTTTTAGAATTCCTGGGAGGTTCACTTTCCAGTTCTAGGTCGAGGGACTGGGTGCCTTCCTCCCACACGAAGGATTCTGGTTTAAGTGTGACTTTTTTTTTTCTAATGGTCTCATCACTACTAGGTTTAATCCCCTCCACACTCGAGGAGGACGAAAGTTCCTCTATATCCGGAACTCCTCTTAAGATAGTGTGCAGGAAATTATATCGCTGTTCTTGTATATCTTCTTCCGGGGGTCTACCTCCGATATCAATCGTACTCCTCTGTGATGGAGGCCTTGAGCTCTTTACTGAAGTCGGATCAAGATAATCTCTGGATGCCACCGACTTCATTTTTGCTGCTGCATTAGTAGCTGGCGCTTCTTCCGAAAGCTTTTGAAGAGGCTTTAAATAATATATTTTATTAGGCTCCAGATCTAGACTACGCCACGGCTCATTTTTTCTGCTTCTGCGACCTCTTTGACTGAACCTTGAAACACTCGACGTGTAACTTCCTTCGGACGATTCCATGCTCCCCAAACCCGACAAGGCAAATCCTCTAGAGGAACGACTACGGCTAGATAACCGACTTTGCCTGCGTGATGATTGTGTAGGAGTTGACTTCGAGGAAGCCGTAGCGCGTTCAGATCTAGGTGCAGATCCAGAAGATGTTGATCTGGAAGTTATAGACCTGTGTACAGATCTGGAAGATATAGATCCATGCACAGGTCTGGAAGGTTTGAATCTATGTATAGATTTGGACGATACAGATCTGGGCACGGATCTGGAAGATACAGATCTAGACACAGATTTAGGGGATCCAGATCTAGACTTCGTTTTTTGGGAGAAGGTCAAGGTTATTTCTTTATTCTTTTTTTTCTTGGGTGGATCATGCGTGAGGAACATGGTCTTTTTTTGTGCCTTTTTTACAACCTTCTTGATTTTTCCAATATGGAAGGAGTGTATTTCCGTTTCGGTCTCAGTGTTCATGGTACTTGGCTTGGAATATCTATCTGTCGAGGAGATTGATTCTGAGTCAGATACTCCCTCAGAGGGTTCTGCTGCGATTTGCGGCATATCCGCTTCTGCCTCATTTTGCAGCATATCCGGTTCTGTTTCATATTGCAACAAATCTGATTCTGTTGCGCTTTGCAACATTTCCGCCGAATCGATCTCGTTCTTGTCAGAGTCCATGGCAATAATAAGCAATTAAAACTCAAGAAGAACTATAAACAATTGCGAAATAAAGTGCTAAGGGGAACAAGAACGTCAACGGGTGTGTACAAGTGTGATATTTGAATGAAAGCAAACTAAGTCTCAATAATTTTTAAGCAAACGCTTTCACTTTTAAACTTTTCCGACTTTATTTCGCACTTAAAACATCATGGCCAACACTCTGCGCAGGCACTCGGCACCTCATGCGGCTCGGAGCGTTTACCTGGCCAAGAAAGGAGGAAAAAGCCCAATATCTGATTCTACCTTTTTGGCTGACTAACTTGTCTGTGTCGCCCGCCCCCCGAGGCAGCTGCCTGTTGTTGGTTAATATCATCACTCATGTATGCCGCATACTAAAGAGAATTTATCATGTCTGTTGCTGCTGCTGCTTCTACTTCTTCTACTGCAGCTATAAAAAATAGAAGGATCTGGGGACGAGTGCCGGAAAGTGCGGAAAATTCAGAGGTTCGAGGCTTCTGGGCTTTCGTCTGCATTGCTTGCCCCAGGGCCGTGGCGCCACCCATTGTCGCTCAAGTGTTTCGGCAACTGGCTTGCCATCTATAAGAAAAGCGATGGCAAACGAGAAAACTAGTTGCCTAGGGAAAGGAGGTTTGGCAAGAAGGGTATCTGTCTGTATGAAGAAAGAGGTAGGCTGTATCAATAAAAAATGACCGACTTAAGATTCAAATACTAGGCCCAGAAAAATTATATCATTAGAATAATTAATTATCAAGAGAATCAAATCAGAAACATGTCAGAAAAAAAATCATTACGTGGAATGGAATACAATTCCTATCACTGGGTATCTGCCATTCGACGACGCCACAGTGACACCTTTTTGTGGCCTTTAGTTTAGTTTGATGCTGCTGCCATGGCTGCTGGTGCATATTCGTAAATTCGTTTACGTTTACCTAGCTCGCTGGAACCCCGCCCGGCCCATAGCCTTCCCTTTGGGCCACCGCCATCAGCTAAGTAGATTTGGGCAACCTGCATGCAGCCGTGCTGCAGCTGCATCGTTTGAGTGGGATATATATACCCATATATATAGTGATTTTTTTTTTGGGTAGTGCGGGTGGAGAATCGGTGGGGGGATGGGGCAAGAGATGCGGGGCCAGCTGCCCTCTCCCTGGGATTTTTGGCAAATTGCCTAAAACTTTCTTTATATTTCGTGTAATGAATTCCAGCGAGAGACGGCTGTAGACGAGAGTAGCAAAATGTTGGCTCTGCTGGCCGAAACCGAAATAAAGAAAAAAAGAGTACAACGGAGGAGAGTGCGGCAAGTGTTGCATACATTGCGTATGCGTAATGTGTAACAGATATTCCACATACGCCGTGTGGTCGGGTGGTGTGTGCGAGTTCCGTTTCCGCAATTAAAATGTTGATTACATGAAGTACGACTGCCGCTTGTTTGTTTCCTTTTTGCCACGCCCCCCGCCACCGCTCACGCCACTGAGCTGTTGGTGCCACAAAGGAAAACGGAAATTATGTGTAGATGCGGGCGTTGGCGCTTAGCTAAGCTTTTCATTCAGCATTAACAGCGGCAACAATGAGCAGAGCACATAAATTGCAAACATTTGACTGGGATGCGATAAGGAGTCCGATAGGACCGGCAACCGCGGGGCGGGATGTCTGCAGAGGAGGCGCTGGGCGGGTTTAATGAATTACCTCTGTGGCAGAGACGAGACAAATGATAAACAAGAGCCCGGTTCCAAGGATTCTGCAAAGTTGAAAACAAAAAAAGCCCGCAAAAATCGACAAAGTTATTTTTAACCACAAAGTATTTAAAAAGAGGCATGGCTAATAATCTAAACGGTTGGTTTAATTATTTTTAGAACCCAAAAGAAAAGAAGTAAAAAAACCGTTTCAGGAATGCTAGATTTGTTTACTTCAGTAGTACCCTGTCCTGGCTTGAAAGGATCGTCCAAATATAAAGCAAATTCTAGTTAATTTGCAAGATAAAGCCCAAGTCCTGCATGTTAAAAAAAAAAATAATGTACACTTGGCCAAGTTGAATGCTCCAACGGCTGACAAAAAACATGCCTTACACCGTAATTAAATCAATCATACGACCTGTTGGTAAGGAGCCAAGACAGAAACAGAAGCGAAAGGAGCAGCCTGAAAGGAGCCGGGCAGGGAAGGGCAGATAGATGGGAGGCAACAGGCGCGACGAAGGCAACGCCCCCGCACACACCTGGAGAAATTCACGGCTCTGCCCCACACTCAGTCCCGAGCCCAGTCCACTTTCTGCCCCCCTTGTTTAGCATAAATGAATATTTATAATTCAAACGCCTTTGCCCGTGCCAGCTCTTGCCGTTCCTTCAGTATGCAAAGCAGTGGCGGCGACTGAAGATCCGCAAAGTGCCTTTTTTTTGGGGGGGAGCAGGAGAAAGTATCGGAGGTAGCCAGATAGAGAGGGAGAAAAACAGGTGGGTAAGCGTGAAAGAAGGAATAATTTTTTATGAATATTTATTTGTTTTTACGAAATCGAAGTTATGCATTTGCTGCTCGCTTCTTTCTTGCTGGAAATAATGCTCTGTTAGACATGTGCCCCCCCATCCATTTACCCATTTTCCAACCTTCGAAGTGCCATCAAAGTTTTCCCTTCTTCGACTGCTGAAAGGTGCGTAAGACAATTTAATTTATTTGATGCATTAAAGCAGAAATATTAACGCTATAAATCAATGGGAACAAAAGTTGTTCTTCGTTGTGTTGTTTTTGCTGTCCCGCGCTGCTCTTGTTTAAGTGTATTTCGTATTAATTTATGTGTGTGCCCTTAACCCTACCCCCGCCCCAACCCCCTGCATATATCCTGTCCCTCTGGGCCTGGCCGAAAAATTTTCGCTTCGTTTTTTCCTTTGCGCGTATTTTTTATGACAGCTGCGGGCAAAGTTATGGGACTAAAAGTTGACATTTGGAGTGGGAGAGGGGTTGGATTCTGATTTAGGGTGGGAGGGATGGATTTCGAAGGCCATCAATACAGTTATGAATTCATAAGAAGTCGTTACCAAGGACAAGACTAAAATTATTTTAATCTTTTTTAGTCAGAAAATTCCTCACAAATATCATTTCCGATTATAATTGCTTATTCTTTTAAGAACTCTTCATATATATATTTTTTGCTTTACTTGGGATTTGGGCATTTTAGCCACAAACGTTTTGGTTGCTAAAGGAATCCGATTCAGTTAAGCCAGACTGCACCATTAGCTAAGCAAACAAAATATGCAGAGTCCTCAGAACCCCGAACTCAGTGCCTCGGACTCGCCTCTTTAACCCCATATTTTTTGCCGAAACCCTCTCTGGTCTTGCCAAGTTGAGAACCACATAAGCTTAAAAATTTCAAGTGCCGCACCGATTTTAACCCATTCCCAAAAATGAAGTAAAATGCCACTGACCCAGGACGAATTTTGAGATAGAAAAGGAGGCGGGGGAGTGCACACTGAGAAGATTTATTTCCGACTATATGGTATTCATCAGTCAGACAAGAAACTCTTGTAAAAATAGAATATTTTTAAGACAAAGTCGTTTTTTCAGTGCAGAGGGAATGCACAAGCAATGGCAGTGGTCAGCATTTGCATATGGAGGAAGAGAAAGCCCGGAGCAGAGAAAGGATACTAGGTTGAATCCGCCCAAAACCTACATTTGAACCCTTAAAGCTTTACCCATTTGTGAACGAAAGACTGCCTCGCCTTTAACTCGATTAATGCACACAAAATGCAATTATTTGCTTTATTTCTCATTTTCAATTCGAAATTGCATTTTAACTCATTGTCATTACAGTCGCTCTGCGAAAAAAGTCGCTCACTCAACCCCCAACTTTCGGTTGCGTGCATCGCATAGATAAAGTCATATATCAGGGATAATTTTAAATGCCCTTCCCGGCTCCCATCCTGCCCTATTCCACTGACGTCATCAGTTGAAGTTTGGCTTTCTGGTCTGTTGGTTCATTAAATATTGTGATAATTTTTCATATTTATTTTTAAGTGGTTTACTGTGACAGTTAAATTTACATTTTATTTCATTAAGCAAAGGCCATTTATATTTGATTTTCATATCCAGCCTCATTTGTATTTATGTATTCTGTTCTGTGCGTTTGTGGATTTGTGTATGCGGATGTATTCTCTTATTCGTCTTCCATTTAATGGTGCTTAATTAAGCGCCAAAAAAATATTATTTTGTTTTTCGTTGTTTTCCTTGAAACTACATCCGACCTACTGGGCGTATGTGTGATGTGTGAGAGTGTGTAATCAAGTGTCCTTGAATATTTATAATAATTAAGTGCAGCCTCCCTGCAATATGGAATATTAATTGACTTTAATACTACAGAAATAGTAGTTGAAGGTCTCTGAAAAAGATCATACAAGCAGGAGAGTTTTTTTTTATGAATCCATTTAATAAGATTAAATGTATATTAAATTTCTTATTTTTTTTAATAATACTCAGCTTTAAAAATCTCAGTGAACTAAGTGTTCATATTTAAAATAACATTTATTATGAACAAATGTCAAAGAACATACCACTGTTATGAGAAAAAATCCCATTATTTTAGGTCCTTTATGTTAACTAACCTGCCCAATAAAATAACAGTTGAGTGAGTTTGAACAGAAATAGTTCCTATAGCAGTATACGTTTTTAGAACCAATAATAAACAGGGTTCTTGAAATTGATAGTGACCTTAATATATGACCAATCATAGTATTAAAAGTATTTAGTCAATTAGTATTTGTTTCTATGAAACTATTTTATATTAAATATTCTTTATCAGAACTCTTAAAAGGACATTGGGTCCTGTTATAGCCTGATAGTAGTTCCTAACTGACCTGAGCCATGTTTCATGACAGTCCTGCCCAACAGAGTCCTGTTAAAGGACATTTTGGAAACGGATCAAACAAGAGAGCAAGAAAGCACTGTTCTCCCAGCTTTGTCCTCGACGCGAAAAACGAAAAGCTTTCCCGCACTTTCTCTCGGTGAAAGGCGCCCCAACAGGGCAGCTTCCCGCCCTGGCCATGCGAGGGCGCCACGGCGCACCAGGCGCTGGGAAGTACGAGTTTTTTTTAGTCAACATTTCAACGCTGAGTCGAACGCACGTCGTTTTTGCCGCGCGCGGACTTGAGGTCCGCTCTTTTGAAAGCGCTTTCCGAATCCGATACGAAACTCAGAACTGAAAGGGCGCCGCCACACACACTCGGACACACACACGTGGCCCACAGAGACTGCGGCTGTGTGAGTGGGCACTAAAAGTAATTTCGTGTTTACAAAAAACAAAACCCAGAAGGAGGAAAGGCAAAAATATAAAAAATAGAAACGAAAAAGTGCAAGTGTGGCAAAAATAATAACAGAATCGTACAAACACATATACTCGGAGCTGTGCTTAGGGAAAATATGCAGGCCCCAAAAATAAAAGTGGACGCGGAATCTGTAGTGGAAATACTTTGAACCTGGCATGCGGCATTTGTTGCGTGCCACAAACATTTGTCAAGCATTTGCTGTTGTTTTTGAAACTGAGAAAACGGTTGCGGTTGCGGTTAATTAAAGCGCAAAAAGTGGAACACAAGAAGTAATCATCAGGCGACCTCAAAGTAACCAAAATTAAAATAATGCCAGTAGAAGCAGAGATTTGGGGGACATAATTAAAACTTCTAACCAAAAATAATATTTTTGGCACTACTGGAACTTGAAGCTCAAGTCCTTTAAGCTGACTAGTGTCCTGTCTAGAGACAGTCTTAAAATCTGAATCACAAATACCACTAGCTAACATGGTTAGAAATTCCAACAAGGAATAGCTTAATAAATTCCACTTTCGGCCAGAGAATATTTAATCTTTAATTATATTTTTTTTTCGTTATTTTGGCTTTCTCCTCTCTCTCCCTTACTTTCTTTTCCAGAGCTCCTCTTTCTCTTTCCGCTTCAATTTAGGCTAATTATGTTGCTTGGCTAGCTGGGATTTTAAGTCCAGTTGGAGTGGTGCGAGGGTAGGGTGTCCTATATATCCTAAAAGGCAGGGTCTGGGCCATTGACGTCGCTCTGCATGCTTCTACTGGTAGTGATATTTCCATTGTTTTTATTTTTGCGAATGCCCCCGCCTATATTGTTGTAATTATAATAGCTGCCCCTGGTGTTGTTGCTTTATTATCTGCACCTGACTTGTTAGCTATTTATTTGTGTTTATTTCGCCATTGTTTGTTTTGAGCCAAATGGAGGGCAAAAAAATGAAATGCAAGGAAGACAGGAAGGGGGAGATATTTTTGCTGGCTGTCGGGGTCTGACATGCATATTTATATTTATAAATATTTATAACTATTTGTTAATTGCTCTTGTTGACTCTAGATTTGTGAATGGCCATAAATAATGTCCGACTATGGCAAAAATCATATTCGCATATTTAACAACCTTTTTTGTATTAATACCTAGAGGCCTTTGTGTAAAAGCAGATCACGTTCATTAATAATAGTGCGATTTTTTATTATGGCTGCTTAAAAAGATAATTATGAATGGTATTCAAAAAAAGTTTTTACCGAGGCACTTTATTCTAGATTGTCCTGAATAAAAAGCCGATTTTCAAAAATTAATTATCAATGAGGTCATTAATAAGCTATTTTTATCTAACACTATAATTTTGATTGTGATGTTTTATTTTTCTTAAATAAAATTCGTAAATCATTTTTCACTATACAGTCGTATCTCACGACTGCATACAGTATGATTTAGTGAGAACAAAACGGAAATGTTATCCCATTGAAAAATAATCGTTTATCCAATTTTGAGTTAAAGTGACCAACCCAATTGCCTGGCAACCATCTTCCCGGAGCTCTAAATCAGCAGAAGGGTTGAGGACCGAAGGACCTTAAATTTATATGGCAAGGTCTCCGTTCCGTTTTGGTGCTTTCGACGCTTTTCCCGCATCGGAACCGAGAAAAAGGCTGCTGTGTAATTAATCTTTGCCCGAAATGCTTGAAAATTTATGTCTTTAACTTGACTGCAGCCAGGCTCCATATGATGGAAGGGCGAAAACCGAAGGAAAGTTGCAAAATGTTGGCGAGGGAGCGGGGCGAAGGTCGTTTAATAGTTTTTGCCTTTAACTTTTCCGTTGTTTTCGTTCGCGTCGCGATTAAAAGTGATTAATAGCCAACATTTTATTACCGCACAGAGGCAGCACTAAAAGGGAAGCCCCAAAACAACTTAATGTCCAAATGAAATAAGTGAAATTTTCACACCGAAATTAATAAAGACATTAGTGCGTGTGGGCGTGGCTCATTTAGGGCATTTAACCGAGGCAAAAATGTGCGCACTGGATCCCTACAGCCAGCACCAGCTGCCGCACCACCATAAAACCGAGACCCGCCACCGCCACCACCACCAGCACAGGCACGGGCACGGGCAGCTGGCGGCGGAGCAACAGGCTCCGGGGACTAGGAAATCGGCCACAGGACGTGGAGCCGGTCGAAGGACAGCGGCGTCAAATCTGCAGATTTGGTATATCCTGCATGTGATACTCGTCCTAATCGGTGAGTTATAAATCTTACTCTCGTTTTACATATTGTCTGGTGAGTCCTTGCGGGCCTGCTCTATTTTTCTCCTTTACAGCCACATTTTAAATGGCCCATAATTAATGCAGGGGTTTCGGCTAGTTTTATATACAAATTTTTGCAAAAGGCCTAACACTAATGGGCATTCATTTAAAGTGGGGTCATAAACTTTCAAGTTTACCCAAGAGATAATTTAATTACATTTTTAATCGTTAAGTTAACAACAGAAAACGTTTAACTTTTTTACAAAGTCACAATAGCTTTAAACAGAATAACAAATAACACACCAAGTGTGTGCCAAAAAATCCCATTGAAACCAAGAATTCTACACACTTCATAATCAAATGTTTTTCCAACATCTTTCCGAGAAGGAAACACACGCTCCCCGTCACCAAATTCCTTCAGAAAATCCCAAAAAAAACAATCAACAAATTGAACGCCAAAGAGCAAAACAATCAAACAATCAGACCTGTGTCTGAAAACAAAGGAGTCGAGTCGTCCAGGACAAATTGTGGAACGCAGACGGAATAGAAATTAATAAATTGAACAAGTCCCGTCTTGGGGCTTACTTTGGGTTTTTTTCGAGTACTCTGTAGATTTTTGTTGGAAAGTATGTTCGAACTAACTAAAATTGTGGCGGTCTAGAAATACATTCATAAATAAATCTACCAAGAACCGTACTTTATTGGCTTTATTGGAAACGTCCTCTAAGAAGAGGTAGTTGGCACTTCCCAAGACAAAATGTTTCTCTTTTTATCACATTTTTTTGGGGGTTCAAGCAAGTTAAATTGACATTTCCGCCCAGACCGACTCGTGAGGAAGCCACTAATATCTGGCAGTGGGCTGGGAGCAGGGGAAGACTGTTACTGTCTTTTCATTATTTTCAAATCATATCACAAAGGCGGAGGGAAGGCGACTGCCGGAGATAGAGACTGCTGAGAAGCGGAAACGGATATGGTTCCGAGTGAATGTTTGCACACCAGCGGGAATCTCCTGGTCCTCTCGGCCCGCCCACTCTCTGATCTGCTGTGTGTGTGTGCGTTGGCTTAATTCAACGTCTCATTTGCATACATTAAAATGTCACATTTTACATGTCGTTTGTGCGTCTCGCCTTAAGCCTAACAGCATGAGCAGCATCCGCAGCAGTACCAGAAGCCAGCAGCCAACGCCCGTCAGTTAACGTTAAGGATCCTCCCCGGCCTCCAGCCAACCACCAATCCACCAGCCCACGACCCACTGCCCCCTCGGCCTACACATAAACTACATTAGCAATTGGAGGCGAGCACCCAAAGGCAGCCATGTAAAAATGGCTTAACGCGCAAATCTTTCAACTAAACATTAATCCTAATGGTTTTCAATTTTGTTGCGCCTTCTGTGGCAAGTCAAGTTTGGTTTTTTTGCATTTTTTTGCGTTTGCAGCCCCTACCCCCGCTCGTTTACCCTCCTCACTCTTCATTTTTGCGCTTTGGCTTCGGCTGTGGGTCCTGCTTTGCATGTTAATACGCTCTTTGATATTGCCGAGTTGCGCCTGCAGCCTGATTGCTTCTGACAGCGTCTCCCCGGCCAAGCTGCTCCGCCGCCATCTAGAATTTGCCCCTCATCCGCAGGCTAACTGTAAATATGAAAATCGTTGAAATTTCATTGGAAATTCAGCTCGTTCTCATTGAATTTTGGCAAAAATAATGTAAAACGAAAGCCAAACACAAATAAAGGAGCTCCACCTGCTCTCACTTTCGCCGGCGTAGATGCTATATATACTTCGCATACTCCTCATTAGCTGACAAGACAATTCGCCATTAATCAAGCCCAGTTAGAAAAGTGCCTCGACTCGCTTTACAAAAAGCGACAGTGGCCAAAATAATCACATAGGTTAGGTTATTGGTTCTAGGTTATTAATGCTGAGATAACTGGCCCAAAAAAGTATGCTATTATTTTTGGCACACACGCTGTATCCTTGATTTATCATTGAAACTTGATGCAGATTATCAAGATTATCAAGATTCGGTTAAACTTATTTAAAAAGAAATACATATTATCTAAGCTAAAACTTAGATTCCAGGTTTCAAGAACATCTTGTAGTGTTAAGAGCCCCCTGCGGATGATGCATATGTGGGCATTATGGCCTACATATGTAGGCGCTTATGCGGATACTGTGTGTTTATCCTCCCACCCCACACAGATACCATTAAATTGTTGCTCGCAAACTGAGCAAAAGCTCAAGTAGGCTTTTGTTTAAATAAAATTGTGTCGCCAGAATGGCCGAGGCAACTGTGGCTCTGTGGGCATGCAAGCGAGTGTTGTTTCTCCCGTTCTTGTTTATTTTGATTATTCACACACGCATACACAGATTGCTGCCACAGATAAAATACATATATGCTATATATACATATGTGTTTAGAACACACTCGTATCAATGTCATGTGTTTGCCAGACCAAAACATTTTGAGCCACTAAGCTTTTGTTGAAGTTTATCTCTACATTTGCCCAATTGATGGAAGCTCCTAGATTGTTTCTATTTTCTTCCTGATGCTTTTTATTTTATTGCCATTGACACAAGGACACGGCAGCAGAGGTGTCTCAAACACAAATAAATAATAAGGAAAAGTGGAGCGGGCCGTCCATCAACTGTAATCCCGAGCGTTCCACATATTTCACGCCACTCCTCGATGACATCGTTTTGATGAAGCAAATTGCTTAAAACGCATTCGCTGTCGGAGTGATACAGGCATTAGTGCAGGTGAGAGGTCAAATAGGACTGTACGCCAAGAAGGCCTATACTAAGTGTATTAAGGAAAATTTGTAGCATTTTAATTAAAAGTAAAAGCCGAAAACCAGACAAAAAAGCTGAAACGCACAGTAAAAACAAACAGAGAGGGAAGGCCCGAAATGACCCATAAGGTCCTGTCCGGTTTTTCAGTTCAGTTCGGTCCAATTCAGGACGATCCGGTCTGAAAACGCCCCTAAGCAAATTGAAACAAAATGAAAGTCTCCGTGTGCTGACTTCTTGTGGCTGTTTTTTCTATACGTCTTTATTGAAATCATTAGAGCGAGGACGAGGCAAGAAAGTATATATTGAGGCTCGGGCGGGATTGGGCATTAATGTCTAACGAGGCTCAGACGAACGACCGACGGCCGCCTATTAATCATGCAGACTTCACGTTCCATTAAGCAGTCAACGAGTGAATGGAAGTTTCGGGGACTCGAGGGGTAGCACTCCGGGTAGATGGGGACAGTGTGTTGGTTTATGCCCAAAAATGTTTCAAGCATAATTCCTCAACTTGATCGGATTACGATTGGGTCAACCTGGGTCATTGCCTAAACAAACTGGGCGAGATAAAGGGTCTACAGAAGATAAACTTACTCTAGAAATAAATATACCAAAATATATTTGTTGTATAAATCAAATAAAATTAATACATTGTTGTTAATATATGATTTACGAAATTAAAACAAATTTTTAAACTTTCTCTTTTCTTAAGTTTATTAACCTCTGATATCCATTAATTTTCAATACCCGTGTCGAGGTGAACAAAAAGGTTGTGCGAACATGTAAATAAAAACCCTGAAGTTCACAGGACGAGGAAAGATGAAAAAGCGAGGGCTGAGAAAGGACATGCGGCTCCAAAAAAGCACAAACATTGCGAAGCAAACAAAGTCAGTGGCTGCACCATTTGCCTGTTTCGAACTTCTGGCTCCTAATGGTGAAAATATTGTATTACAAAAATTGGTAGAGCTACCCCGAGAAAAAGAGCAAGTAAAAAGAGCAACACAGAAGGGGAAGAAACACCCTTTAAAACGGATCCAGAAAGGGTCCTGCTTCTCTCGTTTCTCCGACTGCTGCTAACGATATGGAAAATTTATCAAAAAATACAAGGGCCGGCAACAACATGACACCATCTGACCGCCCGTCCAGGCATAAAATAATCAGCACAGCCAGGGATACCCGGGACGGGTGCGGAAAATGGGGCACGAGTGGTGGCGTAGAAAGGCAAATGTTGGGCTAAAAGGCTTTTCAGGTCGGAACCTGGCAACCTCAACCTCAGGGGCGTTGATGGCCAGCAAATTGATTTGGATTCGCAGTCAAAAATTATCAAATGTGCAAATCGAAGGAGGAATCTGAGGGGAGGCGTTTGATTAATTTGCTTACAAGATCTCAGATGAGATTGAGTGCGATGGGAGCAATAAAGAAACCCCAATCCTCGAGGGAATCTATATTAGATAATCAAAAATCCGCTCAATACAATCACTGACCTTCGAAGAGTATTTTTCTTGAAATTTTTATGCACTCTGCACGGAAGAAAGCACTTGATTAGGAGAAAGTGCAGACAAGCGAAAGAAAAGGCTTGAGACACTCGAGCGGATAAGGCCGTAGTCGGTGTGAGTAAATAAGACTCTCACGCCCACAATCCCACAATCAGAGCTCCGGCTAAGTCGTGTAAGCCGCTCACCAAAGCGTAAAGACAATTCAATCGATGGCCCACACCCGGCAAAGTTTTCTCCTCCTTTGGGCCAACTATGTATTTGAAATATTTTCACTTGTGTCATTTCATCGAACACTTTCCCTCGGAATGCGCTTCGGAAGTTCAGGGATGGGCTCGTGTCTGGCCAAGGAAACATTAGTTACATGTGCCTCCAGCTCGGCCTGATTTATTCACGCATCATTTGCCACGCCCCCCGCCTGTCACGCGCCCATCGCTGCCAAGACGCACTCTCGGTGCCAAGCCGGCCCTGGAAAATGCCCAGGCAAGTGGCAGCTCAATGTTGGTTTTAAAGTCCACTAAGTGAAGTGTTTTTTCTTCTCAAATAATACACCCAAACGAATCAGTAGAGGAGTATTTTTACAGAGTTTAAATAATATTTAAGGAATATTAAATAAAATAAGAAAACCGATTTGAGGGACTCTTTTGTAGAAGTGTATTTTTCCTAGTCTCTGGACTTTTGTTGGGCGCCTGCAGTGGATTTTTGGCAGTGACTGTGCG